CTGTGCCAAATTCCAATAACTAGGCTTAACATAATATTTCTTGTAGATTTCAGATGGATATTTCAGATTAGTTTGTTTATCGGGTTTTTATTTTAAGTAGTTTGTACGTTTATTAAATAATATCGTAACAGTAAAATCCAACAAATCCTTTTAACGTATTCTAATTCTAACTAAAGTCCATTTAAGGACCGATATGTAATAAGGTAACATCAGGTAAGTAATAGTAACTGGTTTTACCCTGTGTGTTTAGTTTCATTTTGTGTACAAATCTCTGCACTAAATACCTATAAATGTGTATTGTGGGATTCTTCCACTAAGTAATACTAAAAACTGAAGTCTTAAATGTACTTGTAGTATTTAGTTCTGAATTAAAACTTAAAATCAAGTACTTATTGGGTTAATAACTCGGAATATTTCCGGAATGCGTGTCAATTCCGCTTATCTGATACTTTTTTTACTTTTTTTACTAAAACTGTTTTTACTTTAAAATCTAACTTTTTGTCACTTATTGGGTTTCACCAGGCAACCCTCGATATGTATCATGCAGTGGAGTAAATTACTATATATATTATACTTTGCTGAGAGAGAGAAAATGAACTATAACTCTCATATTTTGAACTCAAACACAAGACGGTTGAAAATAATGCATATACGTTACAGCGACTTTTAAAAATTAACAGTATATGCAACTTAGATATAAACTTAGATATACGCTTGTAATGGTGAGACATCGCCAACATTGTTTTCTAAAAAGCATTCTCTACAACGATGATGTAAATACTTTCTAATAGTGCCAATGACAGCTAATCTGAAAACCAAATGACCCTAGTTGAGGTTTATGACAGCTGTCAGTTAATTATTATATTATATATTAGTTATTATAAATTTAAATTACTTAAATATTTTTCTGAATTAAAATTATAAAGATTTATTACATTATTTCGAAGTAATAAATTCAAATTATAAAAGTTTTATCATTATTTCGAACTATGATAGGCATTATTTATTGTTTTACCTATTTTCGTTGATAAATGAACAGAAAGTACGTCAAAAGCGTAGATCTTAAAAAATATTAAAATATATCAGTCAAAATGGCATATCTAGTTATTATAACGCCAGGTGTATTTATGCGCGAACACGTGTAACCTCTAAACTGATATAATTCACTGAATATGAGTTTTTATGTAAAATATACAGGAAAGTTTCGCCTACGTCCTATATTCCTGGTAGATAACGCATATTGATGTTATATTGGATCAATTTTGCATTTATTAATCTCTAAAAACAAATGCTTTAAACTTGATATATGTTGGATAGGTAATGTAGTTAGTCACTCCGAAATGGGTCTCAAACTAGGGTGGCCAATATTTCTTCAGGGAAATGTATTATTTTTCAAAATAAGTAATACAAAATATAATAATAATAATACACTTCATTGCGCTTAATGTAACACAGGTTACAGGAAAATTACATTAAGAAGAAACAGAACACAAATGGCGGCCTTATTGCTGTGCAGCAATTTCTCCCAGGCAACCAATACTACATTCGCAAAATATATCGTACCAGTACCAGCCCGCAGAACTCACAGAAACCGTACATTTTCCCGGATTAATAAATAGCTTACATGCTATTCAAGAGAACAGTCTATCTCTGCCCCAAAATTCATCGAAATCCTTTGAGTCATTTACCCTTTTGCTTCGATGGGAGTCTCCGTAAGTCGGCGTCGTAATGCGCCTATTTTGAGCATGGAGGGTTTGTAGCTAAGGGTTATTCCAGCCATTCCAGTTCTGTCAGAAACGCTTCCAGCGCCTTCACGTCTGTGATGGCCTGATAGAGGTTACCCGGCGAGCTGAGATGCTTTGCCCGGTAGTTGCCATTGTACTCCAGCAGGATTTGAGCGGCTGTTTCTTCTGCCTCCATGCATCCTCTGCGTAAGGGGTTGTCAGTGACACCTAATTTAAAAATCGGCTTACGCAATTGGTCTCTAGAACGCTACATAGACTGATAAACACATTACCCTCCTTTTTGCGTCGCGCAGTCGGGTAAAAAGGTATCTGTTACCAGGAGCATAAATGTTTTACTTTGCGAACGTTCACTCGGGGTAGAGCAAGTTTGGCCAGCCTGCAGGTCTTCATAGTGTGCCAGTACTCTGAAGTGACTTTTCGGAAATATTTGAAGTGTGGTTGCAATAAACACTCACACGTCTAAACTTTCTGTAAACTTAATACCTCAAATTAATATTTGAACTTTGCATTTCGTTTCATATTGTAATTTAAATTAAAGATCCATTTCAATACTCAATTTTTCATTTAAAAGAACTTATTAAAATATCACAATTACTTTTGGATATAAATATACGCTGTCACATTGGTCAATAATAAATATATGCATTTATAATATTTTATGAATTTCGCATTCCCAATGCTATACGAAAATATACTTAATGATTAAAAATCAACGTGGTCCCTGGCACCCTGAAATGGAATTTGAATCCATGACCACCGGGCGACTACTCTCGTTTTCTGCATTTAGTTTCTTTTTTAGTTTGATATTGAAAATTTTGTATGTATTTTTGCGTATTATATATTTCTCCAACAGACCCAAAATACAGTTCAATACTTAATAGTACGGTTGGCAACCCTAAGCCAAATTTTTAAATAGTTTTATTTTTCAAAAAGATAATCCATATTCATTATACCAAATGTTTTTAGTTGAGGTCATTGCATTGTACGTACTTTCATACTACATGTACTTTCAATCATAATCATTATCACAGACCTATTTTTCTTTTTGCATTTCACAACGTAGTATTAAGATGTTCATAAAAACCAATTTGTCATTATGGACCCCGTCGGGCACAGCAAAATTGGAGAAAGGGGAGGACACTGTGCTTTAAAATGTAGGTAATAAGTATTTCCTTTCTTTTATGAATTACATAATTTGTGTTTCGAAAACTTACCTATTTAATAGATATATTAAATAGATATTAAAATTAAGATACAAAAAATAGCTAATTTAAAGAAAAACAATAAACCCGACTACGTAAAAACGAATTTAAGAAAATACATGAAAAAATTAACTTAAATAAAAACTAAAAAGAAAGAAACAAGCCCAGTAGTTTAGAATTATGTTTAGTAATACTAATTAACTACACAATTGAGATAGTTTTATAATCAATACACACACATAAGACAAATCATAAATTCTAATGCAGAACAGAACGACTCATAGACGGGGCCCATTGGAAAGAGTTGATGGGTAACAATTGAATGGGCCTATCGATATATATACCAAACTATTATTTCAAATGAAAAATAATAAAAGAAACCTAAAGATGATTTTAAAATACCTATTCAACGACACCCCACTTGACATTGTTCATCTATTTTTTTTTTCGTTTTGACAATATGGCGTCTGGTTGTTTAATGTCATGTCATTTCTTTAGTGACACTCGCATGATTAAGACGAATCGATTGACGTAACAATCATCAAAATCGGTCTACGCATTTGGTCTTTAGAACGCCACATAGAAACAAACATACATACATAGACTGATAATAAACACATTACCTCCTTTGTGTCGCGCAGTCGGGTAAAAACTAGAATATTATATTTAAATTATAGTTAAAGTTTTACACTAAGGTATTCTTGTATAGTATAATTAATGTCCTTGCTGAAGTGGCACAGGTCTTCTTTTATATATTTTTTTTCTTTACATTTGAATTCTATATTGTGAGTCATCAAATCTTGACAAGAGTGTCTCATTCAAAGACAGTCCCAATCTGAATCAAAATATTCTCATTGCATAGGGTATTGTTGGATTATTCGTATGTATTGCATGTATGTTCCTCCGGGTAGGAGATGCTGGCATCACGCCAGGTTCAACTCAGCGGAACACGTGAGTTGCATCAGGATAACGCTGTGACAATTATCGATAAATATCGAGAAATTTTTTCGATAAATATTATAATATGTTTGTTTTTTCCTACTGCCATCCACAATCACAATCTTCTGTGTAAAAAAAACTTTATATATCTCTAATTAAAACTATTTTAACCAAGTTCTAGGTTCTATGTTCAACAGTGTATCAGTGTAACATTAATTTGTTTAAATAAATCAATCCACAAAAAAGCAACCAATTAAGCTACCCGAGATCTGTCACGACAGAAATTAGCAAATGATTATGAAATTCGTTAATAGTGTTAGATATCAGCTAGCTTTTTTAGTTCGGGTAACCCTCAGGATCACGTTAGGTTATGAGTTCAAATTCCATCTCTGCAACCTGGCTCTGGTAATTTTTTTCTAACATTTTTCTTTAAATGCAAAAAATATCAAATAGGTATTATAGTCACATTATCTTTATATGCATAGACAAAAGTGACAATAAATAAAGTATTTAATTGGAGTCAAATGAAAAATAAGACTTATTATAATATCGATATCGACAGTGTCATGACTATACTAGAATCGTCGGCAATAATCGACAGCCCATAGACCGCAGCGAGCTGCCTTATCTTCGATGGGTCCACTCTATATACTTGCAATTTTCTGCAGAATTTACTTATTTTTGTAGAGAAAAGGTATTATTTACTAAAAATAAAGTTGCGGCTTTGTTATTGAGTAAGCAGAAAGGACAGTGTCCTCGTTGGTATGGGAACAGGAACTGTAGTCACGTACTTTTATAAGTAATTAAGACATGCATTCCCAAACCTTATGTCAATAAAAAAGGCATAAATACATTTTATTTACTCTTTTATTCAAATCAGGTAAAAAGTACAAAATAAATTATTTACAATGGTAACTTTGTGCGTAATAACTTAAAAACTTATAATATCTATATCTTACAAAAATAAAAAGCATTTCTCATCTATTACAGAATCAAATATAATGAAATTATTAAAAGAGTAGGTTAAATTCTTTGAAAAAGTATATGTATGTTGGAAACCTACATCTCATTTTTATTATCCAAAAGTCTGAGTAACTTTGTATAAAATACTTTTTTAGTTAAAACGTAAATATTTATTTATTCTATCAATATAACTATTAGATAATACAGGTTTTGGTCCCGATAAATCCACTTTATTAATCAGACTAGCTATTGTTGATGCTAAATAGCTTCTAGGCGTTGACGATACCACATAATTATTATAAGTCACTGGTGTTGGAGTAGCTGACAATGGTGCAACACTAGCAAAGGAAGGGCTATCGGTGACACTTGTATATAGTTTTGGTCGGTTACCACCTATAATAACGACTCGTTCTGTAGTAAAATCGTAACTGGGCGTTGTAGATGGCACGTTAATTTCCACTGGTATATTACTCAAGTACGGTTGCACTGTATTATAAGCCTTTTTGGTCACTAATAAGTCTTTTAGTTGATCGTAGGAAGGTGTAACAGTTGAACCGTATGCTAGGTTGTTATTCGGAACAAATTTATCAGTATTAATATTTTTGCTATCAATAAAACCTGCAAATTTGCTTTTGTGTGGGGCGTAATCATAACTTTTGCTTTCATATTCTGTTGATAGGTCATCGTTATAATACTCTTTAGATAAATCTGTGTATTGATTATAATAATCTTTATTTGCAGGGACTTTGTATTCAAATTTATCTTCAGCCACATATGGTTTCTGTTCATGGTTAATTTTATTATTGTAATCAATGTAATGTTTTTTGTCATCGACATAAGCGGGTACATTATTACGGTTATTGTTGTAAGAATTATGATCGTTGGAATATTGTTTGTTGTTAATGTAATGATCATCTATAGTGTTGCCAGCTGTTTTATCTTCGTCGTCATATCTGACATCGGCTTGGTAACCGTTTTCGTCGGCTGTGTAGGAAACAATCTGCATTCTTCCGTCGGGCAGTCGCACTCTGTACTCTCCGTTAGTTGCTGATCCGCTGCTGTGTTGAGAATGGGAGAAATCGTCGCCAGTTTTGTGATCTTTCACCGTGTAAGAGAATGCGTAGTTTTTGTTCTGAAAAAGAAGTTGTTATTTTAGCATTTTTTGTTGCTTATTTTAATATTAATTATTGCTTAATCTGTATTCACCTGATCGTAATCTTCACTGTCAACATCATTCCTATAATTTGCGTTATGACGTGGGTGCTCAGGCTCACTTACCTGAAATTATAAATAAAGGTCGTAACAGACGATGGGGCTATTATATTCTATGATATCTTAAGATACAATATTGCTCGCCATACATGCCAATGGTCGGTCCAACACACACGACTAAGATCATATCATATTTTATAGAAATAGAAAGCGTTTATTTGGTATAAAATATAAGGTAACAAAATATTATATAGCAAAAATCAAAAAATATTAGTTATACCAAACGGGTCTTTTTCATAATTAAGTATCTCTAGATGCCAAGCGATATGGAAATATATATTTCGTAGTTTATCTTAAAATACGAAATATTATAGCATGTATATCATAATATTATTCGTGTGTGATAGCTACAGATGTTAAAATATTTGTTTCTTTAAGATATATTTAGACGTCTAAAGATGAAATCTTATAGCATACAACAGTATAAATTATATCATGCAGTTGAACGGACACCAGCTGAGTGGACGCTAACAAACTCAACGGAATACTGAAGGGACCGAAAAATGAACCAGCGGATCTACCATATCACTTCTATCTATCTATGTATATATAAACTATCGCATAAAATTATGTATCTGGTACTGATTTCTCATACTACGAGTAATGACACGCTGTGGTCAATTAAAAATAAATCAATAATAAAAATAAATCAATATTAAACATTAACTTGCTAATATTAGGTTGGGAAAAAAGTATTTTGGCATATTAGTAGGTATGCATAAATTTGTAATAAAATCTTTCTGGCCGTACCATTTGTATCTGGTTGGTTTTGGTATTATTGAAAAGTATAAATTTTAAAGAAAATAACTTCGAATTCAAATTAAGAAAATTTGTGATTTTCATTTGCTTTTTTTACTATCAAAATGAGTTAATCTAATAAAGAAATTCGATACATTTATAATTTATTACAAAAAGGTTAACTTTGAAATTATTTCATTTATTTTTATTCGTTTTAGTGAGCAGTTAATTATGTATGTACACAAGTTATATATTTTTGGGATATACTCTTCAAGATCTTTAATGTGATACCCATATTTACAGGATATTTACAACATAACAGTTTAATTACATTGAAATTAACCTGAAGATTTTGTTAGACTGTATAATTACGTTGGAGAGAGCTTGGGAGGCATGACAATTATTGAGATAGCGGTATTGGCTTTTAAATATGGCACCTATATAGAACCTATTTACCCAAAAACCAATACCGCGTATAATGGAAATTTAATTTTATTATACGCTAAACATACATTATTGGAAAATCAATTTGACTCGTCAGTAGTTGCGTACACATATCGGGTTTTCATTTGAATCTAAATAGGTATATTTATATAATCTATCAAGTATTTTATTGTAAGATCGCACTACGTGTTCATCGAAATTCGTTGCTGATTGAGAGCTCGTGACAATAATGTGCAAAAGCTATCCCAAGCATAATGTTTCAAGTAGTAGAAGGTAAACATCATTGCTGAGGCTAAACGCTGGTATACCTGGAGGCAGTGGGGGAATGTTAAGTACTAAACGTACTGCAATATACTAAAATATCAAGAATTAGAAAGCTCATACAGATTTTTAACTGGTTCGGTTCAATGATATTTTATATCTAAATAAGTTGTTATAAAGAATTAAGAAAACAAAATCATATTTTTAAGGATTCTATCAGAACCAAAATGTGAATTCATAATATTTTCTTAAAAAAAACTCTACCTAAAATTGCTTGTTGTAGTTAAACTCTTTATATGTTTACTTTGTAGCTTCTACAGTTATTGTTTCTTATTTTTCTTTCTAAACTTTTAGGGTTCCGTAGTAAGTAGGTTCTGTTCCAAATGGTAAAAACTAAAATTATATCTAAGACTCCGCTGTCTGTCTGTCCGCCTGACTGTCACTAGACCGTATATTGTGAACAGTGATAGTTGGCTTGTCGAAATTTTCACATATTATGTACTTACGTCTGTTGCCTAATTTAATAACTAAAAAAATATTTTCTTTTTATTTTTAAAAAGTAAAATTCAATTGAGATCCGACTTCGTCTAATATTTTATTAATAATGTTATTTATAGCTACAATTCCCACGAGGTTATTAGTGTTTCACTAATAAGATTGTATAAATCAAAATTCAATCGCCCAAGTGCAAAACTAGAATAGCAGGTGCAACACTACCTATTTTATAAATAATTCTCCAAGTCGGGGAAAGGCTCTTGGAGGGAGGGAATAAATAAAAACAGCTAAACTTCCCAAATAAACTGTGTAAATAGAAACGAAATGGGAAATCTCATCAATTTTCCGTAGAAGAAATAATTTATTTTGTTAATAGAATTTTATAAATTATAAAATAATTATTACCTCATAATTGTAACGATTTCTTTCATTCTGCTTCTGCACATCAACGACTCTCTGTTTGGCATTATTGGAGAAGACTTTGTAGATTGGAGGTAATGGAGTTCCATCCTGTGAATAGGTAAATTAATTTGTACAGCCTTATATTTAAATATCGGAAACGATTAACTTACTTAATCAGACATTTACTGTTACCATAACACAATTATATGGATATGGCCGTGACCAATGTCTTGACGTGCCTTCCGAATCATGGAGGAGCTAGAGTTGGTAAAATGACCACCCATCGAAAGCGAGTACTGCGCTATTAAGCTCCTTACTCATATTATATTGGATGGAGTTTACGTAACTGAGTACTAAGAAAAATATATTTTTGATCGCAGATAACCTAACATAACCTTTTTTTTTTGTCGTAGGGGAATGCACTGTTCCTGTCGCTTGACAAATATTCACACGGACACGCCCATAGGCTAGTCAAAATGTGAATGACATACCCAATAAACGCTCTCCGTGCACCCTCAGTTTTGGAAGAAATATCTGATATCCAGCAGGAATTGCGCCATAACCAGCCCCAGAACGTTTCTTAACCTTCTCTTTTTTCTCATCTTTTTCCTACTTTTCGTCTATCTCTCCCGTTTTTCTTGTCCCAGAATGTGGACTTATTACAGGGGGCATGAGTATTTATTGAGATTTACAATATTTACCAACTTGCCAATTTACTTCAAAATCGCCAAGTATTAAAATATTTTTTTATAAAATCCCTAATTAATTAACAACATGGGAAATAAAATCTTAGCAAACTTTATTTATTGTGATCTATAGAATTAAAACGAACACCTAATTAACATTACGAAACTTGTCCTATGACATTAGTTTCGTCCAGCTTCACAATCCATGCAATAGTTTCATGACACTAGAGTAGCTTTGTGTCATGCGCATATTTTTAATGAAACTAGTATCACCCAACTAAGTTCACCACGATTTACATTGTTATTGATATACTGTTGATTGAACGTCATCACGAAAACTAGTTTCAAATGTACCGTAATTAGTTTTGTGTAACTTGTTTCACAAATCATGACACTAATTTTATAATGTAAATTTGGCTTAAAAATAAATATAAGTACGTTTTTTTAATCAAAAACAGTCCTTTTCCTCAGTCCCCTTTACGTAAACTCCAAAGATTATATTTGTAGATTTTTTGGAGCTTTAATAAGGAAATTGTAATATCGGAAATGACTTTTAGAGCACATTATGTCGACAACATTTACCCTTAATGTGTACCGGGAATTCTCACAAACGAGCCAGTATGAATAGCACCTGTTCCATCAAAAGCAACACAACATTCGATCGATCAAAACACAGGCGTGAATGAATAGGAAAAATAATTTCATAAGAAACTCCCTTGGAGATCATATTAGGGCCACGAAAAAGGAAGAAAACATAATTAACGTATTATTAGTTTCTTTCAAGGATTTTATCGAAATAGAAATCGGAAAAATGTATGTTAGAATAAATTATATTTGGCTTGGACTTTTGTGAATATTCATTTGCGCAATTGCGCATTTGCGAATTCTGATGACAAGAGAACTTTATTATTAGGAATTGTTAAATATATCTTACTAGATCAGGGTGCCCAAAAGATGAAAGAAGCTTTTTAGATAGGTCGTGGAAATAAGAAAAAAACCGTGAAAAAATTACGCACTATTGATTGAACCACTTACGATGAGAAAGTTATGGACTATTGATTGAACATTCATATTTTGGGTAAGTCAGAAAGGTACGCTACTCCCTTGGGCCATCTGTTTCTATGTAAAAATTAAAAAATATATTATCTCTCAATAAAAGTCATCACAATATTGTAATAAAAATATTTCAGGTACTACACTGAATTAAATTCAATTTCATTCAACAACAATCGCTTGTTCTGTGGCTCTAATTGTGTGATAACATCACAAGTTATATATAATAGAACCCACGAAAATAGCGATGGCAGATAACTGTTGCCGCTCAGATATAGAGAATGTGCGTCAAGATTATTGTAATTGTTAAACAAATTGTGGCCTAATTAACATCCTGACGGCATCGGAAACCACGAAATACACCTGTGTTAATAAATATACAATACCCTCATTATAATAACTGTGGTTAGTCTTATCTTTAGACCAAAATTAAAGCTTTGATCACATATTAATTAGCTAAATTAGTATATTAGAATATACTATATGTTTAACGATGTTCCTGACAAATGAAAAATCAAAGTGGATTAATAACTATTCCGTATTGAATGTCATAATTTACTAATCAATGATGCATCTTTTCACAAATATGTATATAATTGAACTCAGGAACTTATGATTTTAAAGCATAAGTAAAAGTAAAGCAAATGATTGAATTCATCTAAAAACCTGAAGCTTTGTCGGCACCATTGATTTAAAACTTTTCGTCTGTATATGTACATATGTTGCATGCAGCTTTTGATGTCTAACACATTTATTAGTTTCAAGATGGACGCTTAAGTTGTCAGATTTTAGCTGTCAGCGTTAGTTTAAACTAAAACGTATGCATGCGAATCCACCGGCTATAGATCTGATTTTACTTTCCTTGATTTATAATAAGTTCTTTTAATTAATCAATTCCCGTACAACAACTTGGCTGTACTTGGCCTCTGAAAGTATGTCCGAATACACAGATTGAACTCCTCTGTTACTTTTGATTAAACACTTTCACTTAGGACTACTTCTTTTCTCTTCTCTTCACTACGACTATGAACTATTATTAAATTACCTCATAATCATATCTATTTCCAGATTTCAAGTAGGATGGCGAGAAGGCAGGAAGCTCCGTGGTTACTGCATAATTGTAAGGTCTGTAGTCATTGATCCTCGCGAGATACGGTCTGATTACGTTGTTTACTTGGCTGGATTGGGCCAAGGAGTTGTTCAGCTCACTCCTCGATATGGATTCGCTAAGGGGCCGTGACGTCACGATGAGAGGAGGACGTGGCGGTGGAGGTGCGTCGTTAGGAAACAATACTGGCCCTTGTCTGAAAATAAATATGTCTTATTTAGAAGAAACACTCATCATCATTAATGATTTTACTATTGAGGCACATGTGTTCCCCTCGGTTGGAATCTCATGGATCATGATCTACCTCTCGGGCCCAGTGCGAATTGGTAACAACCGCAAATGCAGCCGAGATCAATAATAATAATTTTTTGGTCACCCATCCCGTGATTATGTAGAAGTAACAATTTAGTTTTAAATACAGATAAATGTTTTACTATATCTTTTACAAGAAAAATGAATCCAATAAGCAACGTCGAGAATGTATCGACATCATGTATCTGTACAAAATAATTAATAATATAGTTAATGCACCATTTTTATTTGAAAACATTAATTTTCGTGTTCCTCGTAAGCAGGAAAAGAATATCCGAAGAAAAGTGCTGTTCTATATTAAACCCAGCAAAACTTGCTATGCTAAAAACAGCTTTATAGGGAGGGCTTGTATTTTGTATAATGATAAACTGAGTGTGGTAGATGTATTTAACTCATCTTTAAATATATTTAAAAATCGCATCACAAATCTCTTATATAAAGTTTAAGTGAAGATTGTTGTAATTATTTGTCTATGTTATTTCATTTGATTTTCTTTTTTTTTACAGTAACTTTTATTTTCTTTATATTGATAATTTTGAGTGCTTTCTTTAATTGCGGAGGTTAACATAAGAAAAATATATAAAGATTGTTATCATTGAGGGAACTGTAGGTTTAGAAACATATATTAGATTTAATTATGATAAGTAAAATGTATAACTGTTTGTTCCTTAATAAATAAAAAAAAATGGTGCTTAACAACAACGATCGCAGGCCGCGGCGCTTATCCACTATGCTACCGCGCTATACCTAATACACAATGGAACTTCTGGACTAAACATGCTTGTATGTGGTGTCAACTATCCGCAAATAATTTCCAACATACAAGTTCATGTAAACAACTGGCTGCTCGACTATAATAATACAGGAAACTAAAGTTTAGTGACTAGACTAACTAATGATATTTCGACTATATACTAAGTTCACATTTTACCCTTCATTATAGCGATATTAGTTACACTAAATGAGAAAAATAATGGAATTGGCGAAAAGTATGAATAAATATTGGACATCATTCACTAGTCAGCTCTCAAGCTAACATCCGATTTCTGAATTGAGAAAAGTAAAAAATTTCTACTGATAATTCTCTATAACAGTAGTTTTTTTTTACGTTTCACATGGCAAAATGTCCTAGTTTTATGAAACTGCTATCAACTAATCGTTAAAAAAATAAAACAGTGTCGAAAACCTGTTAAGGTTCCATTTAAGATGGTTTAAATACGGTTCGAGATGTACTTAAAATTAAATTCTCTATTCAGAAACCGGGTTTAAGTATCTAAAGCTTTAAAAATAAAAGAAACAATTTAAATCTTTTTAAAAGTTATGGTGGAATAAAGAAACTCACTTATACAATAAATCTTAACACCATACACGCATTTTTGGTAGTCGCGCATTTTTTTTATATTAAACCCAACCCGGAATCAAGTAACATTTATCTGGCATGCGAACCACTCGAACTCGGAGGTCGTTAAATCTTCTCTCAAAATTAAATAATTTATCTATATATTAAATAAACCAAACATGACAGTATGTTACATATTATAACCTCTTCCTTATCGATTTTGAAGGCAGTTAAAAAAGGCGAAATCGCGGGAAAACAACTAGTTTTCTATAAGTAGAATTAAGTACGAGTTACATTCGTGCGGATAGTATTTAAAGAAAAGTAATATAAATAGAACTAAGGTTTCCAATATTGTACTTTTACATTTATACTCTACACGAATTCTATTTGGTCTAATAGTTAGATTTTATCAAAATTTTGTTACTATTGTTACAATTTATAATGACAAGACCTTGATTTGTTTATCTCGCTTTGTAAGCAGCAGTTATCATGTCAGGCTAACGGCGTCGGTCACTTTTCCGATAGTTGCATGCCTTTTTGTATTTATCTTTTATAAATGGAATAACTTAGGTAATGCCATAATACAAAGTGCTTTGAGTCCAAAATGAATTATAAAAACAGACTGAACATATAGCTGTTATACTAGAGTAGGGAAGTTATATATCTGAATAGAGTTCTGTTAAAAAGAGAGATCGAGGTAACCTGTCAGTTTCTCTTCACTCACGCATTCATATACTATAGATATATGATAAATATAGATATTTTCGATTAATATAACCATCAATTTGAATATCACAATTTTTTATGTTTTTTTGTTATAAGCTTATGTGAATAAAGACTTTTTCATTTTCATTTATCGAAAGTTCTGTAATGTAATGAAATATAATATGTAACATTATAATAAGATAGGATTACTCCGTCTTCGTTCTCTTACTAACGAGTCAAGTCTCAAGGTTTACTTATTGTAGTGTAAAAACTCATTGGAACTGAATAAGGCAAAATTCAAACATAAAAAAAGATGGCCAATTCTATACTTATTCGTAAAACTCTGCAAAGATCCAGGAAGATTGATTTTTATATATATTAAACCTTAACCAATATACACTGTTGTATGAGCTTTAAATGGTGCTCCAATGTGTGATACCTACATGACATAATGCATTTTCCCGTACACTACCTACTCAATAAGTATAAAGTAAGATGAACAGACATAATAGCCCATAAATTCTGGATAGAATATAGACAATCGTCCCAGTCTAACGGACGCTAAGCCATCTACAAATGAGAAATCAATACCGTTCACATTCATTCTCTGTAAGCTGCATTTTTTGATAAATTTATTAATGCTATTTCCGATTTTTCTGCTTTATTTTTTGTTCCTTTTATTTTTAGCATTATGATGATTGGAGCCGCAAATGGAATATATTTTCCTTCGCTTTCTGATTTTCACTAGTCAATAAACGTTTTATTTATTTGAACGCTTACGCTGGCTTTAAAGCTTCGTTACCTTCAACCTTTTCTTATCCCTGCTACTGCGGAGCAATCGAGAGTCTACTCTGTTTGTCAACAAAAACATGATGGGAATCAATGGAGATTATCAGAGGCAATGTCAAGTCCTGCGTCCGTTGCAACATAAATTATCAAAAAAATACGTTTCTTTGGAGCCGTATTAGTGTTTTTGAAAATAGACCAAATTTCGCTTTCAAGAGTTTTTTCGTTTTCTCGAGAGTAGGCCAGGCCTCCCCTATAGATGGAATCACCCAGGACCATAACTCGCTACATGGACCAAGTGCAGATTGGTAGATGTCAATAACTGCAAATGCAGCCGGTACTAAGAAGCTCCATGCAATTAATCTGTCGCCACCCACCCGGTGAAGAATTCGCAAAAATTGCTTATCCTCTGCAAACGAACGCGCTAGCTAACTGATCTTTACGACATGTTGAAATAGACGTATTTTGTAACTATTATCATCACGACAGCAACGATGTTTGTCGCCTGCAGTCTCAATCATGCCTTATCCTGTACTACTTTGGATACAGGATAAGGGGACCGCAAGAGGAACGAATGCATCTGAATAAAGACAGGACTGAAGGTTATCTCCATAACTGTCAAAAGTAGATACAGGTGGGACATGTTACACATATGGAGGTCAGTAGGTGGACAAAACGACTTCTGAAATGGAGAACATGTGCTAACAATAAAACTCTCGAGAGATGGATGGACGATATCAAGTGACGTGACTGGGTACTGAGAACACAGGATCGCCTGACATGGATGAGGCCTACGCTGAATATGATGATGATTTAATTTAATCTAATTATATTACACTTTATAATACATATGTTACGCTCATAGGTCGAAATGTCACAGTAAAATATCCACATAGCGAAATTCGTGTTATGGCTCTTATGGAAACGCTCACGACGCGAAAAGCCATAAAGCGTTTTGAACCATATTTTATTAGGTTAGATTACATTAGAGAATGACAAACAAAGCACGAACCGAACGAGCAAAGCAAGCGTGCTGCGGCAGCGGCCGACAAAGTGCCAGAAGTGAATCACTATTGTAAAATGAAACAGCTGGTTAAGCCTATTAATGCTCAGAACGCGTCGTGACTTTTCTTCACTGCCACAACGCGTTTGTCACCAGCCTGTAATTCATATATCTTATGAAGCGTGACAGTTAAACAGTTGAAATAGTCTCATAAATTATTTATTTTGCCTCTGTAACAACAACACCTAAAAAAAAGAATAAAATAAATATTTAAGGAAACTCCATACAAAAAACCTGACTTTTTAAAGTTTTATTTTTTTATAGAAAATGCTGAAGAACCCTTGTCAGGCTTTTTATTGTCTTTTATTACCAATAAAAAGCCGCCAATGTCAGAAACGTCGAGCTGTTGAAAGGTTTAGCTAGTAATTTAACATTTATTAAGGTAAAGTCGACGTGGCTGGGTCGATGCCTTAGCTTATCTATACGGAGATAATCCTAGGTCGTGACGGCATAATCTGGAGGGCCTAAAGACTTAAGCGAGACGCCAATATGCCAATGATACATTGGGCTAGTGTTATAGGGAATATGGATGATTTTTTTTATCGATTCAACACAATGCTGCCTAATTGAAATAAACGAAACATGCAAGAACAAATAAATGACCACTATTCGGCCATTTTAAGAGATACGAAGAATTGTTTTTTGTCACATCACAACTGTCAACGGTATTAGTTTTACCATTACCATTTTTAGACTCACAATAAATACAAATGATATAATTAATTATTACGCAAGAACTGCTATCTTATATATATTTAATTATATATACTAACTTTCCGCCCGCAGGTTTGCCCAGTTATTATCGCCTAAAAGCTATCCTATGTCCTTCCCCAAGGTCCACTCTACCTCTGCATTTTATTAAATTGGTTCAGTAGTTTAGGGGTAAAAACATAACAGAACAGCCAGAGTTACTTTCGCATTTATAATATTAAGTATGGATAAGTACTAACTTGGTCGGTTCCGGCGAATGTAGATTCTTAATAAATTTTTTAACGTCGAAAGCGTGGTGGTTGAAATTTCTCGGTTGCAGCAAAACTGATGGAGTTGACTCTTCTTGTGATCTCACAATTGTTTGTAAACAGGAGAGTAAAAAGAGTGCGGCAACTTTTCTAGACATATTCTGATCTGAAACAGTACGAAATTATACAAGTTAATATTAATAATGATTTTAATTGTTAAGGTCTGTAAGTATCTGTCGCAACCAAGTGGTATAATCAGCCGACCAATTGGGCGACTAGCCCTTTAATTGAATGGCGCCATTCAATTTCACTGAAGGGCTAGCCGCCCAAGTAGTCAGCTAATTATGCCACTTGGCTGCGACATATCCACATTACGAGGCTGTTCTCATTATAAAAATAGCCCTGAACTACCATAGAGGTCACATCAAATAAAACCTACTTTAAAAGGTTAACAAAATTAAAAGAACTACATACTAGTCATATTTGTTCAAACAAAACGATTCAGTCACTACGAGTCTGGTAATATGCATGCCTGACGATGTAGACACACGCCTTTAGAATAGAAGATTTATTCTTGAAATCTTTCTTTGGGTTAAAAGATATTAATTCATTGAACTTGATCGCATCTGCAATTCTCACTAGACCTGCATAGTGTGCTAACACATTTCCCTATATATTTCTATAAATTGGATCTGTCAATATATATCTGTTACAAAAGTTAACATGCAAAATAGTTACATTATTACTGTTTTATCAATGATGAACGATGGAATTCTTCAGAATCAGAATGGAATTCTATAAAAAACAATCAGTAAATAATATCGGACATGGTAATTGTATTTGCAAAAAATGTCTGATCACAGAAAATTATAGAGTACATGGGAAATTAACACCATATTCAAACAACAATAGAGATCGTAACACAAAATTTTATCAAATAATTGTTTCAGATACAACCTTATTCTAGTGAGAATGCAATTTTTTAATCACTCATACAAGTAATAATTTGCATAATTGTTTCATTATTGTCGAATAATGTTGATTATACAATACTTACAATTATACAATTCGCTTCTAAAACATAAATGCCGGGGCATGTATGTTACTGTAAAATGGTATGGCAAATTTCGGGATGAATGAATGAATGAATGGATAAACACTTTATTGTACACCACAACACAACAAACATGAATATAAGCAAATATTTACAGTACAATCGGCGGCCTTATCGCTAAAAAGCGATTTCTTCCAGGCAACCGCACGTTAGGCTGGATTTATTGAAATAAATTTATTACGTAGAGCAAAAATAATATATAAGCTATATATTTATTATATATTTAAAACAAATATACATACATACATACATACACATCATGAGCTTTACCAACATGAGCTGGTAAATGTAAGAATTGTGTAAAAAGAGAATACTTTTCGGGCTTCTAGAATATGGAGTTTGAATTGTATAACAACATAATAGAATTGGAAAAAATCCTCCGTAGTCGGGTGTGTCGCACGCTGGTTTCAAGGCGTCGCCATCTCCGATTGTCCTAGGTTCGGTCGATCGGCTCAATGTAGAAAATTAACTTTTCTATGTTGTCTCGGGTCTGGATGTTATTATACCTTCGTTGTCTCGAATACTTCATAAAACAAGGGCTTTGCTACTTATCGTGGAATCCGAGGAATGTATGTGATGTTTTCTGATATTTATTTATTATTATTTGGTCATACTATTATTATAAAGAGGTAAAGTCTCTATGTAAGTTTGTTTATAAGGGATAAACTTCGGTAATACTGATCCGATCGTGAAGCTACATCATACGCGGATGACACAAACTATACACGGACGAGTCGCGGTAAAACATTACCATTCGCTTTCTGAATTGAGAAATTATAAAATCTCAAATGTTTACTCTCCATAACTTAATTGTTTTTATGTTTCATAAGTCAAACATTCTTAGTAATATCAAACTGCTATCAATTGATCATTGAAAAACTAAAATCAAAAACGAAAACTTTTAAGTGATGTTTTAATACAGTTTTTTTAAATTCTCAATCCAAGAACCAGGTGTTAATCTAATAAATAGCAATCGCTATTTAATTATTTCCTATAGTAAGCGTTTATAAATAAAAAGTTAATGGTTTTTGGTTTTGGTGGCCTCTTAAGTGTAGGCGTATAAAGACGCTACTCACATCACACATACGTCATCATTACATGTGCAACAAGTAGTAATTAAGTTGCGACTTTCTGTTCGCGTAATGCTCCAGAAAAACCTATTACTCTAATTAGCATTTCAATTAACAGCCTCGCCTTTTCATTAAGCGTTGCTATTCATCTATAACATCGGTATGTTCCTGCTGGGCGGCAAGATGAAAGAAAACGGCGCGAAATTAAAGCTATTATGATTATTTAAAAAGTGCACCTCGAAGTTATATACTCGGAAACGATTCAATATATTTATTAATTTTTCCTATAAATAATTTATAATAAATAAGTACGATCAGGAGAATAAAGTGTAAAAATTACGCATATTAACGAGATAACTTCAATTTTTTTTTTACGATAAGTTATATCTATATATATCGTAGGTATAAAAAGAAATTCTATTTAGTTCGTCAGTCAGATAATAGAAAAATATTATATACCTACTTATTTTCTTTTTTTTTGCTTCAATTTAACCAGAATTTACTTAGATAAATAGGCATAAAAGTTGAGGAGGGATAAATAGGAGATAAGGGATAAATTTTGGGGGCTTTCTACGTCAAAACTATGTTGAAAACGCGGAAAGGTGTGAAGTTAGCGACATTTCGATGC